AGATTAGGGAGCGAACGAGCGCGCGACGAAGAGGATGGGGCACCGGCCGAAGTGCGGCAGTGAGTGCAGCCCTGCACCAGAGGAGACGACGGTGAGGGTCTTTGGGCAATGCAAGGGGAGGATGGGGAGCGTGATTGGGTACAATTTTATATATATACTGTATATGTTTTAGCCGTTGTTTATGTATTTATTTATTTCCCGCCGTTCGAGACGATTTTGTGCATCGCTATCACGCTGGTGTTGAGACGGCTCGGTTTGACGTGACAGCACTCACGGGGGATTTTCTCAGCCTTCACAAATCAATCGCGACCGAGGACAGAGATGAAAAAAGCGTAAACAACACAGACAGGCATGATCCAGAAACTCTGAACTCGCTATGTTCATATATTTTTTTGAAATCTGTACTTTGAGATAAAACTAAAAGATGTGTTTCCCTCTTCACGTGAGCACTAACGTGGCTCGCGTCTCGAAACAAGACCTCGAGCCGGAATTGGTCCATTCCACGTTCCCATGGCAGTGACGGAGGGCCGGTCATTAGCGCACTGCGCGAGGAATGCGACGACCTACAGTAATTCTTGAATGATCGCGTTGTCTAATGGGGATGGTGGGGAGCGGCGTGGAGCGGTGGTGCAGCGATTTACACACCGCACTATGAACTCGGCCACATGAGTTGACGTCAGTGGCGAGTAATATCTGTCTCGGTCCAGGGCCTCTCAAATCTTTACTAACCTGCACTGACCAGCATGGTGAAGTATGGTCAATCAATCCCTCATGCACAACATACAATGGGGAGGCCTACATCCAGCAGCGGGTTGACAAAGGATATGTATATAAATATAGTTCATTGTTATGACAGTGACGAGGCAGCCTTGAATACAACTGCTGTTGAAATTCAAACAGCACACAGCAATGTGGATTAAAAAAAAAACCACGTGGCCATCGTGCATAGGCGACAAGACCATCAGCAGTTCCTGAAGAAGTGCATTGTGGTCCTTGTAGTCTGAGGTCACCACCAAAATAGAATTGAGCAAACGTGCGTTTGAAACGCTGTTGCTTTTCCAGGCTGCACTATAACTCTGCTACGATGGGGGGGGGGGGGGGGGTGTTCTCGTCATCTACAAATTTGATCGCTGTCGAATTCCCATTAAATGGTACCTATTTTAGCGACCCTAGATAGTATGTTGATGCTGATGGGCTGCCAACCCCTTGAATGGCATTTAAACTTGCAATCCTCTGATAGCAAGTAGTACGCTTACACCAGGCGGCGGTGGCTATGCATGTGGCCTGTAACCCAGCATTGCCGAGGCGAGGGATGGTGGATCACCGCACGAATCTTGTGAAAGTCCCTTCCAGTGGGAGTCGAGTAGAAGCCGTGCCGTAGCTCACCAGGAGCAAAGCAGTGCGGCAAAAATGTGGAGCTCCAACTGCTCGGTCGACATGGGGTAGAGTGTTTCCATGGGTGGAGTTTGGGGGAGGGGGCACGAGTGGGTAAGGCCCCCTCAAAGTGGACACCTTCATTCATTTATTGTCAGTAGTTAATAAATCAATATATTATATGCACCCCGTGATCCCCCCCAAAAAAATAGACAAGTCACACTCCACATATTTTTGATCCGGATGCTCCGGTTTCCTCCCAAATTATTGTGGGCGCCACGGTGTCGAGATATGAACTACCTCGCATGGTATACAGGAGATCGTGGGTTCAATCCATACCCCGATGCCTGCTATATATTTGGAGTTTGCGTGTCTCTCTCCCCGCGGTCGCGTGGATTTTTCTCCGGGTCCTCCGGTTTTCCCCTCCACATTTAGAATCAACGTGCGTTTAAAGTATGTGTCTGCCTTCAATTTCCACGTGGTTGACCTATCATTTGCGGCCAGGTCGCTTCTGAAAAAGAGCTACTATATAGCTCAGTGGGCCTTACCTGCTAAAATTAAAAAAATATATAGTTTGTAATAGTTTAGTTTCTAAAGACTCCTTAATTAGTGGATATAACCTTAATATAAAGAGGGGATTGCAGAGCTCGGGCAATTGTTGGCGCCGGCTCACTGCGTAGCTGCCCTCCTGCCCGCGTGTGGCTACTCGCTGTGGCTGCCGAGCCGTCCTCTCTCTATGGGAGTGAGTGAATACCGTCATGAAGGCTCGTCACAAGTGAACTTTATTCTTATGATTATTATTCAATCCACCGCACCACGCAACCCGTTTTTGCATGTTGGTCGATACAGACATTTACTGCAGCCTTGCACCCCATTGCTTCTCAATCGTAAAAAAAAGTATAATGTTAGTAAATACATAGGTTCGATCAAAACAACGTAGTTCTACTTACGTCCCTGTGCTTAATTTGTGTTTTCGATGATTTACCTTAAAACAAAGTCTGTCCGCGTCTCGCTACCCCCAGAAAGGGCATCTCGCACCCCCAGGGGGTGCAGCGTGCACCCCAGGTTAAGAACCACCGCATTATACGATCAAGTATTTCACAGACTCATAGGTACATGTACAGCCTCTTGTTCATCCACTGCTGGGTAAGGACCTTCCGACAGCGTGCGGGACGTGGTGGGGGTGTGGGGGGTTCTTTGACCATTTTTCACGAAAAGTTAGTGCGTGTCCATTGGTCATTGACTTGGAACTATCAGAATGCAAAGACACAATCTTACGTAGTCGAAACCAAGTTTGTTTTAACGGAGGAGAAATGTTAATCCAATGTAACGTTGGCAGGCAATATTTATTTTTGTAGCATGTCTTGAGATATGGCTTCATAATGTATGCTTTATATACATATATAAATAATAAATCCGGCCCAAGGTTGCGAGTTCAAATCTCGGTCATCCTTTTGGGGTCGATAAACCGCGTATCACTTCGTTTAGAAGTGAATAGACCTTGTGATAGATTTGACCTCACAATAGGAATGTGAAATTTCTACCACTGGCTCAGAGCCGTAATTACGAGATGTTCCACCACCTCAATACTTATTTGAGGAAGAAATATACATATTTTTGTAATTGTTTGTAAATATTATGCTCCTGGCATTGATCAAGATGCTTGTTGAAGCGGCTTCAGAATTAGATCTGTGACGTCATCTTCCGGGGGTGATCTGACACTGGGTGGTACACTGCTCGCTGAGACAGTCTAAATGGAAATATAGTTTCTAAGAGCTGCGCCTATCGTCTATATACATAATCTACCAATCTATCCGTTACCGTTTTGAATAATTGCTTAATTAAATAAAACACGAGCATAGAATCTACATATCGGTTGCATAAGCAGATTATACATTTACACGCATGAAGATCAAAGCAAACCATGTCTTTTCATTATTGATGATCATATCATCAATCGCCACACCTTTCTCAACACCCACTGGTGGACAAAATCTACGAGCTACGGTCAGGGGGCATACCTCCCTCCACCATTCTCACTCCGCTGAGCACAGCTAACCTTCGCGCCCTGCGGATCACGCCCGACAGCCGGCTCATCGCAGCCTGGACCAAGGCCACGTCCTGGCTGAGCGGCGTTTCCCTGTAACTGCACTGGCAGCAACTGACTGGAACTCTCTCTCTCTCCCACTGCACATTCGCAGCAGCAGCAGCAGGTTCAGCATCCGGGCACCATCATCCACCTTCAAGCAGTAACTCAAGGCTCTCACCTGTTGAGGCTCTCATTCATCCAGGCTCTCACCTGTCCATGCTCTCACTTGTTCAGGCTCTCACCTGTTGAGGCTCTCACATTTTCAGGCTCTCACCTGTCCATGCGCTCACTTGTTCAGGCTCTCACCTGTCCAATCTTTCACCTATCCAAGCTCTCACCTGTTCACGCTCTCACCTGTCCATGCTCTCACCTGTTCATGCTCTCACCTTTTCAGCCTCTCACCTGTCCAATCTTTCACCGATCCAAGTTCTCACCTGTTCACGCTCTCACCTGTTCAGTTTGGTACAGGAGAGGACTTCGAGCTCTGCATCCGCGCCGGCGAATTCTCGATCGGACATTGCGTCCGACTCGCTAAAAATGCGCGCCTTGTAAATTGTGTTTAGTGTCGTTAACGCAATGGCAATAACGATTTCGCACATGTCGACTTGGCGAAGGCTCGCATAACGTAGAGCCCCTTGTCAATTCATCATTGGATGAGGGCCTCCTCCAAGCGTTGACAGTGGGATTTGTCGAGCTCACGAAACAGGGGGTCGATTGACGGGACGTGGAAGCAGAGACGAACGAAGGAGGCACGCGTGCGGTGGGTGGGTGGGTAGGTAGGGGGTTTTGACCGATTTGGTCGCTGCCGGATGTTGAGGTTCAGGAGCTCGACCGCCGGTTCGGGCCTCCCCTGCCGCTGAGTGCAGCCACCGCCGGCCGGGGTCTCATAGCGCAGCGTGCTCACAACGGCACCGCCGCTCCGCCCCGAAGACCCACAGCGGCGGGCAAACGTAAAGGGGGCTGAACCGTAACATGTGACAGTCAAGAAGCTCCGCTTGGAAGTAAGTGATGTTACGTACGGTGGTGGTAAGGCAGTGGGGGCATCTGGCGGAGCTATCTGTGCTGCAGTGGGTGGTGTGCCCTTGCTAAAGCACTAAAAAATATCAACTATTTTTTTTTATTTTACCAGGTATGTACGTTGAACTTCTTTCGCATCATACGTAGCCAACTGTGCTTATCGGAGGTGCGAGGGAAGAACAAACTAAACACAAAAAAACAACACAAAACGCAGGTAAGGCCCACTGAGCTAAAAGCTCATTTTCAAAAGCGACCTGGCCACAAATGATAGCTCAACAAAGTGGCCTATCACGCGGAAATGTATAGCAGCCAAATGCTCTCAACGCATGATTATAAACGTGGAGGGAAAACTCGGAGGACGCCGGAGAAAATTCCACGCGACCACGGGCAGAGTGAAAATGCAAACTCCAAATATACAGCAGGCGTCAGGGTCGGGAATCAAACCGACGACCTCCTGTGAACCAGGCGAGGTAGTCAATAACATCGCTCGTGAATGAGAGCGTGCCGCGAACGGACCGACCTGGGCTCGTGATGGTCAGGAGATCCAAACGACGCTGTTGCTGGAAAACAGAACAGAGTGAAAAAATAAACAGCAAGGTTAGCCTCGTTGTCGACAAGCAGACGCCGGTGACTGAGCGAGTGGATGCAAGTTCTCACGATGCCCTAGAAGGGCTATACAGTTGACATCTGAATGTAGTCGTTTTTTGTTATCCATACAACCTGAACAAACAATCTAAAAAACACTTTTTTGATAAATGCTTTTTTGTTCGACGTCCAAAAGTTACGATCTGTAGGTTAATCGGTTTTACTCACCGAGAAGGGCTAGCCTGATTATATAGGTTACTTTAAGTATAAAGCTGTACACATATGTGTTATTTGACTTCTATATTTGGGTGGTGGGTGGGTGTGAGGGCATTTACCATGCCCATCATCAGTGAACAGCGTAATTTTCGTCACTACTCAGGGCAGGGTTGGCATACATTTCAAGTACTCTTTGGTTCTTTCGGTAAAAGTGACGTAGGTATAAAATAAAATAAATCACGACGTTTTTGGCGCAACACCAGCGTCCGTCATCAGGTGAGAAAGCATGGTCTGCTGCTGAGGCAGACTGTTTTAAAAGGTTTGAAATGGGTGTAGCCCAAGGGTCATAAAGAAGTGTCCGGGGCTAGTGATGTTATTGTAATAAATTAGCATGTCACTGTAGGACGCTTGTGTTGTGCCCGAAACGTCGTGATTAATTTTATTTTCTACCCACGTGACTTTACCGAAAGAACCAAAGAGTATGGATTCCTGCAGTCACGAAAGCTTCAAATCAAGATAAATGTCTAGGTTACTTTAACTGTAAAGCTACACACTTGCAAATACATCATCACTGAACCAAGTCATTTTCGTCACATTGGTTTTGTTGCTTTTCAGTGTTAAGTTTCCAGTGGTCGAAAAAGCCCTCCCGACCAGCGCCCGTTCCGCATATTCACTCCATCGCGGTGATAGCGGCCCTGGGGTCTCGGCTCGGCGAGATGTCCCACACTCTGGTGCGTTCAATGACCCTCAAACACACGAAAGGCAACGGGAGCAGACGCGGAGGAAGATATCTCGACGCCGCCGCGAGAGGGGCCGTAATCCCAACCCCACGCCGCGCGTCCTCATTCGCTCGCAGCCAGGGCATCCGACCCAGGGATGAGGTCTATTTTAACAAATAGAGTCGACCAAGAAAATACGTCCCGTGTGTTGGGCCCCTTTGGGCCTCGTTGAAGGAGGAGCGGGGTGGGGAGGGGGGGCACCCAGCCAATCGCTTGCCACTGATGTTTGCCGCGGGATGTCAAAATAAAAACTGGGGGTGGGGGGGGGGGTTCAACGCGTCCGCAAGGGCAGCGCGCTCGGGCACCGCGGCGAGCGGCAGCTCGGCGTCGGGAGTCCGCGTCCTTCGGCGCGGCTCGTGATCGAGTGGCAAAAACAACAACAACAACTGGTGAGCCGGCGGCCTTGAGGTGTCACCGTAAGCTGTGATCTACCGGGCGGAGATTGGGCCATCGAGATGGCCGATGCTAATCTTATTCTTAGGTTTTTTCGGTAAAGTCACGTAGGTAAAAACATTAAAAAGTAAAATAAAATAAAAATCACGACGTTTCGGAGGCAACACAACAGCTGTATCAAGTAAATGAGAGATTGCAGGAGCTACCACTCCGTTTATCTCAATCTCTCATTTACTTGATACAGCTGTCGTGGCTGTGACGGTACCACCTGAAGACGGAAGCTTGTGTTGCCTCCGAAACGTCGTGATTTTTTATTTTATTTTACTTTTTAATGTTTTTACCTACGTGACTTTACCGAAAAAACCTAAGAATATGAATCATTGCAGTCACGAAAGCTTCAAATCTAGAATTGATGCTAATCTTGTCTCCCCACTAACCCTCGGCGCTAATAATGATCACGTTGCCCGATGTCCAACCTCCACGCGTTGCACTATGGGCCATGGTGCTGGCTTCAAAGGATTCTATCGCCTCTCTCTGTAAAACCAAATGTTACTCCCCCCCCCCCTCCCATTAAAGATGCGTTTATCTTTTGTTGTAAAAAGCATAACAAGACGAACAACCGGAGAAAGTAATTTCCCGATAATTTTTTTTAACAACCGATTTTTCCTTTTCAATTTAATTTGGGAATTCGTGAAGCTGGTTCAGTGCTTCCCTACCGGTGTGATGTGACCCTGCCCAATGTGTGACACCACGGTACTTTCTAAACGATCAGCAAACACCCTGCAGAGTCAGTGACACAAAATAACGAACACGAAGACAAAGACGTCAATGTAAAACAATGAGACACACAGACACTGAACACAAACGTCCCAATAAAACCATGTGGTGGACAGACGGTTCCCCTAACAATTACCAATGAAAAACAAAAACAAAGATCCTCCGTATAGCCTCAACAGTATGTCGGAACAAGTGCTGTTAGCGAGCACCTATGAAGGCCGGCACGGAACACGAGGGTGTGGGTGGCCAGCACCACGCCCGACCGCCTTTGTCTCCCTCGTGGCGATGTTTACACACCCCACCAGGTACTAATTTAATGCCGAGTCGATCTAGGGGAGGCCCAGGACCGGTTCAGATAATCGTCACCGGTGTCGACCGTGAGAGTGGGAATCGAACTCGGGTGGCCGGCTTCGTAGCGCACAGCGTGCGAACCACTCCGCCACCGCTCCCAATGAAAACCACACAGGCAGACAGACACACACACATGTGCACTGACGCATACACACAAAACACACACCCCCCACCCCACCCTTAGTAAATTGTCTGAGCCGTGGGCTCACTGCGTCCTCACTGCGTACTGACGTCACGCGCCATCAGCCCGCGGGCCTTGTGGCCTTTGCTTGGCCCTGTGGCCTTTGCTTGGCCCTGCTTGGGCCCCAAGCCGGCCAGATGCCTATCTCTTGCGGGGCCAAAGTCGTCGCAGATTGCCCTTCCGGCTCAGCATGGCCACAACCGCCCGTGACGGCGAGGAACCGCGCTGGCTCGGTTCGGGATGCGCCAGTGGAAAAAAAAAAACTCGCGACGATGGACCAACATTGGTCCAGCTTTCTTTCTTCCGACACGCGAACCCAATTACATTCCCAGCGCTGTGCGGATGTCTCTCGACTTAATGCCCCAATATAGCAGCGACGAGCAATAAAAGGCAACAGCAAGGCCAAACACAAACCAATAAACACTATTTATGAGCCGAGAAACTTTTCAATCGATGACTTCTTTAATTAGGTGCTATTTTACACGCAGTTTGCCGTCGCCTGATAAAATGCAGGCTTACGGTATGATTAGAGGCTGTACTGTAGTATAACGAGTGATCAAAGAGCTTCATTAAAACAAATAGATGCACAATTATTCCCCGCATTGTGATGTGGGCTGGTTGGGGAGGAGGGGGGTGGTGGTGAATAGTGGAAGAGCAAGGCATGATGACATCAAATTGGAAAAACTATACTTAATATTTAACAGTTACGGTAGATGTTTGCTTGTGAAGTTCAATCAATTGTATTTAGAAATTGCACTCGATTTTTATTTGCAAATGTAGACCAACATTATTATTATTATTATCCTGTGGCTAAATGCTCTGGCTTGATTCAAAAGCGAACCCTTCCAATCTCGGTGGAGGCAAAAAGGCGCAGCCCTACAATTACTTGGTCACTCGACTGCTGGCGGAGAGGCCAGCATTTGAGAGGGCATGTGGGTCTCCTCTTCCACGCTGGCAGGACATCATGAAAGATTTGGGTTGTACCCACTTCTTTCCCCACCGCGCGCACGGCGGTGTCGATTGGCGAACTGCGTGGTGATTTCCATCAATACCGCGAGGTGGACACAGGCGGTGGTGGTGGCAGTGGTGGGGATTTAAGAAACAGGTGGCATTGTTACAACCGGCACGCCAAGAGAGTGAATCGTGTTGGGCGGCCACGGTGGCGAGATGTTAACTACCTCGCCTTGTACACAGGAGGTCGTGGGACCGATCCCGACCCTGACGCCTGCTGCTGTATATTTGGAGTTTGCGTGTTTCTCTCCCCGTGGTCGCGTGGATTTTTCTGCCGGGTTCTCCGGGTTTTCCCTCCACATTTAGAATCAACATCACGCGTTTCGAGTATTCGGCTGCTCTACATTTCCACACGATGAGCCACTTCGTTGAGCTCTCGTTTGTTTGCCCAGTGGGTCTTACCTGGTAAAATAATACGTTTAGTTTAGATACTCATCACACTCTGGCAGCAGCAGCAGCAGCAGCAGCAGCATCCCCTTCCATTGCTGAGATGTGATTGTAACACTTCTCAATGACGTCTAGGAAACCGAGTGCAATATCCTCGGCAGAAGCGAAAACAAACCTTGAAGAATGAACGCTTCGGTTACGCGCAGCGATAAATCACGTGCCCCAATGCTATCACCTCACCGCATTTGAACACTCCACAGGTAAAAAAGAAGGTACAGCAGGCAAAACGTGGACATAAAAGCTGAAGAGATTCTTATCGCAAAACACAATCGTGGGCATTTTTTTTATTCACTGCAATGTAATTTGGGCTGTTCTTTTTTTTTGCCAGTCACGGTTGGGATATCGAAGCTGTAACGTTTGATTTTTTTTACAAAGAAATTTCTTGTAACAAATTTTTATTTTATAACACATTTTTTTTATTTTATAACTATTTTTTATTTTATAACTATTTTACCAGGTAAGATCCACTGAGCTATATAAAGTAGCTCTTTTTTTACAAGCGACCTGTCCACAAAGGCATATTTATAGCACCCACAAACTCTAAACTTAAATTTATAGCTGCCAAATAATCTAAACTCGTGATGTTGATTTTAAATGTGGAGGGGAAACCCTGAGGACCTGGAGAAACATCCACACGACCACGGGCAGAGAGAGAGAGAGAGACAATCAAACTCCAAATATACAGCAGCAGGCGTCAGGGTCAGAATCGAACGCACGACCTCCTGTATACCAGGCGAGGGAGTTAACATCTCCTAGCCGCCGTATAGAAGCAGCACCGCTTCGTCAAGGGCACTTACTGGTCTCTGTTGTGTCAGGCTGT